AAAAAAAAAAAAAAAAAAAAAAAAAAAATTGCGAAAGTATATCCAATAGTTCAGATACTTTGAATGTCACAAAACTGAAAATCATTCAGTTACTATCAACTGAACCTCCAGACTATTGTATCAGTTGTATCACAATATTGTATCACACGTCTGACGCATCATGTAAAAGAAAATCAAATTGTTATAAATGTTTGAAAGAAACAAATTATGAATGAGACTGCAACAAAATGGCCGGTAGAACAGAAAAGATAGGATCTGAAAAGCCAAGCCGGCCCTATACTACCGAAAATAGCAGTAACAATAGCAGTATTCAGGTTTATTACGATAGCAGTAGCTAAATCAGAGGAAAATCTACAGCACAATTTCAGAATTTCAACCATAAAATATCTTGCATTTTGAGAAATTTGCTTTGAACTATATGCTACGCAAGTTTCCCATAGTTCTGAATAAATGTTAAGAGTTTTCAAACAGTTCTAGTCTAAAACTAGAAATTTGCAAAATTTGTTCCAAACTTGGAACTTTTGTCAGAGATCTATCAACTGTTATAAAAGTGGAGGGCGCGTACAGCACTTTTCTGGTGAAACTTGAATATTATTTTTTCCTGATGCTCAAAAACTATCCACCATTCTTAAACATATGCAGCAAAATTCCAAGTCCAGAGAAGAATTTAGGAAGCAATAAATCTTGCCAACGACAAAAATACCATATATACCTACGACTCGCTGTCGTTGATGAGCTAAAAACCTCTAAAATGAAATCGGTTCACTAATTAAAAGTCATATTTTCATATGTGCCGTTCTAAATACTTGTGCAATAAATTAGTGCACCGTACAAAAAGCCAAGCCTTACGTGTTTCCTTTACCTCTTGGTGCTTGCTGTGCTATACGTATCTGTACTTTTTCAATGTGAGAATTTCTTCCTGAAAAAATGCCATTATGAGAACAGACCATGGCTAGCAACGCCAGAAACAAGGGCATTCTATCTTTCTTCTTCTGTAAAAGCAGATTGAATCAGCGTCAGCAGAAGGATACTTTGTTTGTAGTTATTTCATAATCCTGTTTTCAGTGTACTTTGCAAGGAGACTTTGTGCTTGCATATAAAAGAAAAAACAGCACTGCAGTTGAGCCTATCCGCTGTGAAATGTTGTTAACGAGTTCTTATTTAGAAAATTCTGTATCTCGCTTAATTCTTCTATAGTGGTTTCAGCATAGTTTATGGATTTTCTCCTGACTTTCTAAAGATGTGCTGCCATAATGTTGTTTTGATTCATGGGACGTCATACAGGATTGACTTCTTAATGGCGTGTGCTGCAATTGACAGTCGCTACCTTTTACAACAAAAACCCTAAGGAACTCTAGAAGGTGTTAAC